AACCATTATATATAAGAGAAGGATTTTTGGGAGTTTCCGGTTCAGTGTTTTGTCATTTATTTAACTTATTTGGTTGTTTTAAAGCAGACAGACGGTTATTTTATAGAAACAATGAATAGGATAGTAACATGAGGTATATGTTATATGGCAGTACGAACAAGCATGTCACACGCGTAGTATGTTCACCTTTAAACGGGAAATATGCGTAACCAGATTGCGGGAAAACTATTTTACAACTATATACGCAATCCAGTAAGAAAAAACAAAGTTTCGTCACCGAACAAAGTAAAACATGTACGCATAACAAACAGTAATAGTGTGTGTGTTTATCTCTTATGATTTATAAAAACATTTTAAAGGTGGCTTTCGAAAATATCGAGATGGAATTATACTCGCAAAATGTATCTAAGTGTGAAAAGCATGTCATATAGTGTGAAAAAAATTAGTTTTTCTTACTAAATGCTTAGGGTTACGTAATTTATCTTAGATAATTGGGTTATCCTAGGCGAGCCAAATAAGAAGTTTACAGGTTTAGTTTTCTTACGAGGAATGTATCTTTTTATAAGAAAATTATAATAACTTAATTTTTAAAAATTCGTGTATCTGTGCTTACCTCAACGTACAATCTGACACAAAAACAGAATAACTATGAGTAACCGAAATAACCATCGGTAGGAATCAGTACAGTTAAGAACAGTGTCTTTCATTTCAGTTTTTAAAAATAAACAGCACGATGGCATTTTTCGCTGTCGTCGAAATGTTAGTCGTATTTTAATATAGTTTTTCGAAAATAAGACAGAAAGAAGATAGGCTCAAGACTGTGTCTGAGTCCTTGCAACGTTAACGAACTTAGCCATATTCACGCGTAAAGGAACAGTGGTAACCAAGCAAGAGATGTCTTATTAGTTCTTAATGATTTGTATATGAAAATAATAATTTGCGAAAACATAGTTAAATATATTAGGTGTATAGTAAATGAAATGAGTGTTTTGTACCTGTGAATTTTTTTATTGCCGATTTTCCACAAGACAGTAAATATAGTATATAGCGTTAGTCATGTTTGTTTCCCATTAATCGTAGTCTTTTCTCCCATGACTTAGTGGTTAAGGTACTCGACTCGCAAAATGGAATCCCGTCCTTGAACATGCTCGCCCTTTCAGCGGTGGGAGCGTTATAATGTTACTGTTAATCCCACTTTTCGTTGGTAAAAGAGTAGCTCAAGAGTTGGCGGTGGGTGATGTTGACTAGTTGCCTATAATATGTAATTTCTAAATAAGGATGGCTAGCGCACATAGCCCTCGAGTAGCTTTACGCGAAATTCTAAAAACAAACTTTTCTCCCATCGAATTGAACAACGTCAGATGTGTTCCGCTTGCCACTTGAATATGTAATTTAAGTAAATAACTTTTATTTTGCATATATATACATTCTGGCTGAAGTACAAGTGCTGTTGTGTTTAAATATTTTCTAACATAAACACAGCCATGTTTAAGCATATATAATTGTTTACATAAAGAAACGAAAAACCGTTAAAGATATATTCGTATATTACGTTTCAAATAGGCTAGATTTATTGAGATCGAAACATGAACAAACGGAAATTCCTTTTGTTCGGTGAGGAAATCAACAGTTCGTGAAAAGATTGGATATAGGTTTTGATTTACTTTGTGGCTAGGACAGTTGTTGAAGAATGTCTTAACGCGTTTTTTTTACTCAATCTGTTGACTAATATTGGTAATGAAGTCTGACGTGTGATTTACTTAATCTGGTAGCTAATAATGTCGATCAAGAACGTTTAATGTGTGTTTTACATGACTTGATGTCTAACAATGTCGACAAAGAACGTCTTACGTGTGATTTACATGACCTGATGTCTAACAATGTAGATGAATAACGGTCTAAGTGTGATTTACTTTTAACTGATGGCCAACAATGTATTAAAAATATGTAGGTTCGTTGTAGCCAAGCTATAACACCCCCCCCTCTAAAAAATAATTGGAGGAAAAAAACTCGTTGCATATCTTACAGTGATATTTAAAAGCATATTTAATTAATATCTCTTCGACTTTAACAGAAGGTAAAAGATATAACAAAAAGAACGATAGTGTGTATTTGTGAAAAATTGTATTACATTTTATCGTTAACATTGTGATAGTGACTGTTCTCAAGTGTTTCTTTAATACTATAATAAAATATGGCATATGTTTAAATCACATGTCTTAATCAATACACAAACATATATTTTTTTATACATATAAACAGGTGTACATTATGCTATCAAACATATATTTAATTTCCTCTTTCGGGTAATGGCTCAGCTGAAAATTTATGTATAATTATATGTTAACTATAAAATTGAAGCACAAACTAATGTACAAGTTTTGTAACATGCAATCTATGCGTAATTACTTCGTTCTTGTTGGCGTGTTTCGTCATTTATTTTTGTTTTCTTTGATATTTATATTTATAAAAAACATTGGCAGGATATAGAAAATTTGCATTCACAATGACATTAAATTGGAAACTTCTTTTTTTTTAAAATAACAGCATGTTTATTTCTCTCCTTTTTAACCGTTCACAAGTGCCGTAAGTTCTACTGCACTTAATTATAACGCACATGACTTGAATCAGCCCAGGGCTATAATTTTAAGTAAGAACATTTTTCACATGTGGCGTAATTTCAAACTTAAGCTCATTATTGGCCAAAAGCACGCATGCTTAGTTGTATGTTGCCAAGAGGTTTTTTTTTGCTATTAAAGCAGCATTTGTCGCCACCTGAATTTCTGCCAGAAAAGAATCTTTAAATGATATGCTGTCGCATAGACCAACTTTGGCCAGTTTCCAGTAACATAATTAACGAAGCAGGCAAGTTTGCTACTAAGTAAAAACATGAAGTTTAACTTGCGTAAATTCCCATCTGCACAGCAGTACCGCCTAAAAACACTAAAAGGAAAGTTTAATACATGGAGGATTAACTTTCAAAACATGTGGGTTCTGTTTCTACTCCCTTTGACCTTGATTATTCATTTATGTCACATGTTTCTCTTGGATATTCACTTAGTATTTTTTTTTTTTTACTCGTTAATTTGCCTTTGCCAATTATCCAGATGTTTGAGAATAGATTTGGAGAGCAAATCACTAAGCTGGGGCTAATGAATAACAACAGCTCCCTCTAGAGAAAGAAAATGCTCGGGGCATTATCAACAAGACAAAAATATTCGCGGTGACGAACTTACTAAGAGCTTGATTGAATAATTACTGATTTTTAATTGTTCATAGTGTCATGTAATGAACCATAAGATATTTATGAAGAGTTACGAAGAAGTTCACAAATTTTAGTAAATAGTCTGTGAATCAGAAAGCTGAACGTATGTAGTAAAATGAAGAATGGGGATTTTTATATAAGATTTTTATGATTAAAATTGGTATAAAGTGCATATTTATTGTTTTAGATCTACATGTATATAAATCTTAAATAATTCCCCAAAATGTGGAAATATATAAGAAACTGTATCGCTTAAATTATGACTCCAAATACACATGATGGTTATACAACACCATGCCAATGTATATCATTTAAAAACTTCAATGATATTATATGATATTGTGATACACGTATCTTGTCATTTTATGTTACTAAAACATTACAATTATGAATACGTAGTACAGTGATATACCAATTGTTATTAGAGCTTTAGGATTCAAAATACGTATAATTATGATGTAAGACGTCAGAAACGATTCAGTAACATGATTTCGTGATGTAGTCAGTTGATTGTGTAACAAAAACAAAACGAGTCAGTGCACATTTTTTGTGTTCCACGGACTTGCCACTGAACGCTAAGACATCGTGACTCAAAAGTCTAAATATTGCGGCATAACAATGTTTCACTTCACTATATTTGATCAAATTGTTAACGATTCAGCATACGTTTACATACCACATGTTGCCATAAAAACATCGTGATAAGAACATATTATACGGCGGTGTATAAGAGAAAAAGTAAAAGAAGAGTAAAATAGCAATGTGTTTTTGCCACTAAATTTGCAGGATTATTTTCTATTCTAACTTCCCAAGTTCGGGATCCGAAAAACCTGATGAGATGTAAAGCGACTGAGGTCGATTTTGTATGCTGATAATTGAACTAACAGCATATAAAGAAGCTTTCAGAAGAGCCCCCGGTGGCTCAGCGGTAATTCTGAAAGTTTATAACGCTAAAAATCGGGTTTCGATACCAGCAGTGGGCAGAGCACAGACAGCCCATAATGTAGCTTTGAGCTTAACAATAAATAATCCAAATTTCGGAAGAAACCTATATAGAGAAAGAAAGAAAGGCGTATTTAATAGGTCATACATACTAACATTGGAGGTATCATAACACTGTAATATTTTCTGGTAAACTAGACCCAACATGCCTAACCACATGCTTAGCAAAATTGTAAAAAGCTTTGACTCACCATACTGAGACAAAAAAAAATCAATAATAAAAGATGGCATGGGCACTCTGGATTGATAAAATATTTTCTTTCGTGTGAGGTGGGCTTCGGCTTTCTGTTTAATGTCTACTGTACAATGAGTAGAATACTTCACTAAACGAGGACAGTAGGAAATGTGAGTGAGAGCTAACTTTGTTTAGAATTGTATAATTCAACATCCATCACAACTTCCCAGAATGCCTTATTATCAGATAACCTCAACTAACAGGAAAGGGAAACCAGAGTTTCCAACTTCTCTATCTCCACATATATCGTTGATCTTCCTGATCACTCATTAAAATCCAATTTAAAAATCATCCAACAAGTTGGCCAACAAGAAACACACATTGCTTACAATTATGCGAGACAATTTTCTGAGGGCAAAATTATTGTATTTCAGTGTTAGGTGACTCCTGTTCGTCTAGAACTTGTAACTAGGTTGAAAGAAGTCTGTTAAAAACTTTAGACGCCATGACGTGTAACTTTAATACGTAATAACATAAAACAAACACTTTATTTTTATAATAATATTAATTCGTACACACAGCACAGTTAAATGCAGATACAAATACATTAGAAATAAATATTTGAACTTTACAAAATATATTTCAAAAGTCCATTCCCCGGTGGGACAGCGGTAAGTTTACGGTCTTACAACGCTAATATCCAGGGTTCGATTCCCCGCGGTGGACACAGCAGATAGCCCAAAACAAGCAAACAAATCAAAGGCCCGGCATGGCCAGGTGGTAAGGGCGCTCGACTCGCAATCTGCGGGTCGCGGGTTCGAATTCCCTTCACACCAAACATGCTCGCCATT